CTGAATGTGTGGTGGATGTGTAGTAAATGGTAACCCCCCCCCGCAAACAAACACTTAAGAAGCCTATATTCTGAAAATTCCATTAGAGAAAAGGAGAATTACTATTTGACTCTATGCTAAAGACAAAACTCGAACTCAACCTACTCCTAATTTTTTAGGGGACCAATGCATTTGAGGTGAGCCAGAAAAGATGCTGCAGTGCATCTGTGACACACACCTAAAAATGGCTTCAGTCAAAGCAGCATCTTAATTACCAACACGGAAGGTTAAATCTACTTTTTAAAAAAATGCTGGAGTTCGCCTTGGTAGACGCTTAATATCACCCTATCATTTTTGGCTGCAGGAGTAAACTATTGAGCTCTCACACCCTCCGATTCTTCTGGTGCATTCCAAAAGAAAACCTTACAGCAGAGGGGCCTACTGTACAATTCTACGTACCCTAACGAGATGTATCAATCCACGAATCTAGACTGAAGACCGGCCACTGCGGAGATCTGGTAGCTTTACCAGCCAGCAAACACCAGCCATGTCAGACCCCCAAGAACTCCAAAATCAAGTCTACACATACATACATCCCTTTAGGGTAATTAAACGCAATCCTCCCGCGCAAAGGAAGGAAGGCTCTATCAATGTCCCTATTGGCCCCGTCCCCTTTTCTTCAGTCCTCCAGTGGGGGCCTTTACCCTAACACCAATAATATTAATGCTACCTCGAAGACAAGAAGCTGCCGAGCGGGACTCACCACGCAAGCCGGGGGATGGGGTGGCCTACAGGGCGAAAGGACTACTCAAATCCTCCTTCGGAGTTGGCGAATCCTCCTTCGGAGTTGGGTAGCACTTCCCTAGCGGAAGCAGGGTTGGTCCTGATTCCCCGAAGCGCCCCTCGCCTAATCAGGTCTTTAACCCGCACTGCCGCACACGCTGCTCACGGAGAATCCCAGCCTCGCTACGCACAGGCAGGCAGTAAAGGCCCCGGCTGAGCCCTTCAGTTGCATGGTGGACGCATGCCCCACACTGGGGGAAAAAGAGCGCGCGCCTGCCAGTCCGGCTTGATGGAAATCCCCCTTGATGACCCGGCCACACGCATAATCCCCGCAGGGCCCGAGCCGGGCACTGGGTGGGAGGAAGGCCGGCCGCTCCAGAGCGCCCCGCTGCAGACCACACGCGGCTGACTCCGGTTTCCCGCTCCCCGAGCGGGAGGCCGACTTCCCCAGACCCAGAGATCACGGTAACCAAAGAGAAAAGAGACGCCCAGACCCGAGGCCCTCTCCACGCGGCCCCCGCGGTGTCCGGGCGCCAGGGTCGGGGTGCGCTCCCACGCCCCAGGCCGCCCCACGTTGGCCCTTCCCGGTGGGGCCCTCTCGGATCGCGGCCCCGACGTCCTCGCTTTCCTTACCGGCCAGTGTGAGTGTCAAGTTTGCGCGCTTCGAGGGTCTCGGCCGAGTTCTGATCGAGGGAAGGGGGGAGGGAAAGCTGGCGTTAGAGGGGCGGTCGGAGTGGCCGGCGGACTGGGAAAACCGAAGCTGCGGATGGACAAACCGCCAAAGCACTTTCGCAGCTTCCCGAAAGGGAGAGCGGGCGAGAAAAAGAAGCAAGATGGCGGCTAGCCAGCCGCTACGTACAACGTCATGACGCTATGCACGTAAGGCAAATCTCCGCAAGGACCGTCCCCCGGGGCAGAGACGGCCGGATCACGTGAAGCCGCCGCGGCGGCCCTCCCCTGCAGGAGGGCGATGGCGCCTCCTGCTGGAAGGAGGGAGTTTCTGCAATCAGAGTTACCGCTGAAGGAAGGGAAAGCTTTAATCTGAGACCTTTCCAAGGAGCTCTTGAATTGCCCACGGCTACAAGTTGATAAGCCTCGGTAAAATGAACACTCTTGTATCTGGTGGGTGGTTGTGTAAATTGGTTCAGTCAGCAGTTTGGCAGTATGTTCTCGGTGAAGTAGGGGGCAAGCTGTGAAGTCTTGGTGTGTTTTGGTGAGTAGGGGTTTGAGGAGAAAATTTAAAAGTTATTTTAGGCCGGGCGCGGTAGCTCGCGCCTGTAATCCTAGCACTCTGGGAGGCCGAGGCGGGAGGATTGCTCAAGGTCAGGAGGTTGAGGTTGCTGTGAGCTAGGCTGACGCCACAGCACTCTAGCCCAGGCAACAGAGCGAGACTCTGTCTCCACACAAAAAGTTATCTTAGAGAGTGAAAAAGTAAACCCAGTGTGAGGAACAGAGTAGGATTGGCATGCTATACTAAGAGAACTTTTTTTTTTTTTTTTAGGACGGGGGTCTCTCTCTGTTGCCAGGGCTAGAGTGCAGTGGCTTCATCATGGCTCGCTGCGGCCTCCAACTCCTGGGCTCAAACTATCCTCCTGCTAGGGCCGCCCGAAGTGCTGGGGCCACAGGCTCGTGTCACCAAGCCCGACTAAGGGTTTTTGTTGTTGTTGTCGTCGTTTTTTTAAAGACAGTCTCCCTGTGTCGC